CCCCACCACATCCCTCCCAGCCCGCTGCACCAATGCAATGTGCTCATTCTCCCCTCCCAGCCCTGGCTCTCAGCCTGGCGCATCACAGTGCCCGTGCCTGGCAGATGACGGGCACGAAGGGGGATGGCGACGTCTCCATCCCTCACTCACCTTCACGCTCTTGGGATCAAAGGCAGGTTCCCGGTGGGGCTCCGGGGCTGGAGCTGCTTTGGCTGCTTCCTTCTTCGGGTCGGGTTTCTTGATCGGCATCGTGCTGGGTCTCTGCAAAGGTGCAGGGATGGGTCCTGCTGCCCAGTGAAGCCGCTGAACGGAGGGATGAAAGGCAAAGGCTGCTCCTTCCCTTATATACGAGCCCTGTGCTCACCCCGGAGGGGCAGGGCAGCTGCTGGAGCAACTGCTACTTACTATAAAAGGAAGAAAACTCAAACGAGAGGGGCCCCAACTTGACAATTGCCCATTGTCATCAGCTCCCGGCATGGCCAAGCCACCAGCCACCCCCCCAGCCACAAAAGGGGGGACATGTCCCCCTCCAGCACCTGCACTGGGTGGGCTGCACGGGGGCTGCTTGCTAAATGAGCACTGGAAACCTAAACTCGAGCCGCCCCGGGTGCCTGGCAGGGAAACAGCAACACGGGGCTGATGGACCTGCCATGATCCCCATGGGAAAAGTGTGTCTGGTTTTAGGCAGGCCTCAAGGGCAAGCGCTGCAGAGCCCTTTGTGAGACCTGGGTTTATGAAGTGCTGCTTCAAAGGAGCTCAGTCCTTTCTGCACGATCCCCATGCCTCATGCTCAGGGGCTGCTTTACCCCCATCGCTCCCCAGGGCTGAGCTTGTGCTCTGGAACGGGACATGCTGCGGGTGAGAAGCTGTACTCACCTCCATGGGATAGCTAAGGAGGGTAATACAAAGGGAGGGTAAAGCCAGGCATTTAATTCATCAGCTCAGGACCTTTCTCAGCACTATGCTGCTCATCATAGAGCCATAGAATCATGGAATGGTTTGGGTTGGAAAGGACCTTAAGATCATCTAGTTCCTACCTGCTGGTCATGCTCCTTTTGATGCAGCCCAGCACATGGGTGGTTTCTGGGCTCAAGCACACACTGACAGCTCACATTCAGTTTCTCATCAACCAACACCCTGAGTTCTTCTCCTTAGGCTGCTCTGGATCTCTTCTTTGCCCAACCTGTAGCTGCATTGTCCCATGCCCCCAAAAACCTGCAGGGGCTGTAGCATCTCCTTTCAGCTCCTCTCCAGGCATTGGGCAGGCTCCAGTGGGAGATGCTCCTGCTCTCACCCTCCTCTCCCAGCTGCTTGGAGACCTGCAGAAGAGGTCATTGAGGTTCAGCATCCCAGAAAATGGGGCTTGAGGGTTACACCGAGACACCTAAACCTGCAGCCTCATTGCTCCAGCCAGTGTTGGCTTAAATTGGGCTGCAGGGACAGTCACAAGCCGCTGGGTGGAATAGGATCCTTCGAGATGCTGCTGGTCTTGGTGTGAGAGCTGCGGGTCTTGGTGCTGGCTGGAGTCTGAGCCATTATGTTTGTACATATACATATATATAAACACACACACACTTTCTATATGTATGTATTTAAGTGTAGTTTACAGATAGATGCAGAAAAATGCATTTAGATGTGTATTTTCGGGTGGTTGGGTCAGGCTGGTTCAGGTCACGTTGGATTGTAGTGGCTCAGGCTTGGTACGACCGTCTGGGTCTAATCCTGCTCTTTTGGAACTGCTGCAGGGCTGGGAGTGAAGGGAACTGCTCGAGCCGCTGCCAGCCAGGTCATGGGGGTCTTTCAGGAGGAGGGAGCAGCAGCAGACTGTTGTCTGCCATCATCCGAGGGTTGTTAAGGTGGGTTCAGGGCTGGCTGATGGGGCTGGGTGGGAGTCGTTTGCAGTGATTGCTTTCCAGAGCTCTCTATAATGTTGCAAGTCATTTCACAAGAGAAAACCCAACGTGTTTTGCTCACAGCAAACTCGGATCCGGGGTCAGGTTTTGCCAGCAGTGGGAATCAAATTGCCTCTGAGCGTTGCTGCCTCCCCCTCAGCCAGCATCCAGCCATCCCACATCCACCCGAGGTCAGAACAATCTCACCTTACCCTCAGCCCCACTCCTGGCAGCTCCTGGGTCAGGAATCAGTACTCAGAAGAGCCTTCCGAACACACTGATCCTGCAGTTTAGATGCTTCTCCTGTCTCTTGCCCTTTGTGCCTGTGCAGCATCCCGATGAGCAGAGTGATGCAGGGCTGGTGTCAGCAGTCACCAGTGGTCCAGGGTGGTGGCTGACCTGGGACAGGGAGATGGGCAGCTGCTGAAGATGCCCCTAATCCCTGGCCATGGATTACCCTGGGCTGGGAGCCTGCTGCTTGCAGGGTTTGGCACTGGGCTTTTGAGTTTCAGCCTCATCCCACTAACGCTGGCCTGCTCGGGGAACAAGGACCTGCCTTGTGCCCACATCTCCCCCAGGGATGCTCAGGCTGGGGGGGGACACAGGGTGATTGAGCTGACAGGGTGGTGGGAACATGATCATAGAATCATAGAATGGTTGGGTTGGAAAGGACCTTAAAGCTCATCAAGTTCCATATTGGAAGCTGCTCTGAGGTCTCCAGCAGCTGCTCTTCTCCAGGCTGAACAGCCCCAGTGTTCTCAACCTGTCTCCATATGGGAGGTGCTCCGGACCCTGATCACCCTCGTGGCCCCAAATGATCCCCAAAGCCATCCAGAAGGGTGGCATCAGCATGACCCCGAAAGGCAGGAGACAGCGCTGGGGCCTTCCCGAGGGGATGCAGGTGACGAGGGACTGCTCTGATGGGGATGTTGTCAGCTGCAGCGAGACCAGCTCCGACCTGGTGCCCAAGGACCTGCTGGTTCAGCTCGTCTCATTCATGGGCTGTGTGAGACACCCATCAGGGTGGGAACTGCTGTCAGGACCATCCTCCCGCCTGCAGCGCCCATTTAGCCCCATCCATGGAGGTTAAAGGAGTTGTGCAGTGAGATCCTTCTGCAAAGCAAACACACGAAGGCAGGAGGGTGTTTGTCCCAGTGTGGAGCGGGGCTGATCCCCAGAGCACATCCCAGCCCCTAGAGAAGGAAAAGGGTTAAGCCTGAAAGACTTCCCACCTCAGGAGCAGCAGTGCCGAGGTGATGCTCACGTGCTTGCACCCACTGCCCCCCTGCCTCCAGCCACATCACTGGGGCTTTCCCCACTGTCCTCCAGCTCCTTGGGACCAGTCTGGGGCTGGAGGGGACTGAGCAGCACAGGGGCAGCGAGGGGATGCTGTGACAGCTGAGGAATGAGCCACCAGGCAGCGAGAGGAGTTTTGGAAAGGAGAAGAGGCATCTGCCTTGAATGAAGAGGATTTTAGCACCTAGGGCTGAGCCAATAAACCTCTGCCATCCCCATCCGAGTGGGAATTGTTTGCACACACTCCGGGAGCTGCTTAAAGCAGGCGAGACATGGAGAGTGAATAGGAGGAAGCATGATGAGAGGAGAAACCCCTTCACCTTGTGAGCCTGTGAGCAGATAGATCCCTATAGCACTGCTGGGACCTACACCTCGGCAGGGACAGCAGCAGGGAAGGTGGCCCCAGAAGATGCTCTGTCCTGCTGACCACGCCAGCCCCCTCCATCACCTGCAGCCTGGGGCTGGCAGTGCTTCTCCAGCCTGGCATCCCTGAGGTCCATCCGAGTGACACGGGGGGACCATGGAGACACCCATCGCCAAGGGAGGCATCACAGCAGTTCTCTGCTGCTGTCTCCTCAGCTCTGTGTGGGCTCTGGTAAGTCTGCATGGTCCTGTGGGCTCCTCTGCTCCTCTCCTGGCTTTAAGCCTCACGAACTGTGCATCCCATCCTGGCTGCACGTCCCGCTCCACAGAGCTGCTGGGGAGGAGCTGGGAGCATCTGTGCTCCTGCTAAAAGCTTCCTGCACCCATGGAGACCCCACAACGTGATGGTTTTCCCACTGCTTGGATGTGTTCAGGGCTGGGTTCGCTGCCTCTGAGGCACTGGGGGAACAGAAGGAGCAGGTGATTTATAGTCAGCTCCTGCTGATGGACACCAACGACCACCAAACCTGCTCTGTGCCCCCCAGCATCCTCCCCATTCTACCCACCCTGATGCTGCCTTTGGGAAGAGCATGGATGGGAGCTCAGGGTCTCCTCTCTAGGGCAGGATTTGGCCATGGACAGCCCAGAAACCAGTGTGAACCCCCTGCGTCCCAACTCCTCTTCACTTCCAAAGCTGGCAGCCCTGGCTCTGAAGGGCTCCGTGTGGGCAACGGGGGCATCCAGCCCCACTGGTGGGACGGGGGAGAGGGAGCTGGGGCAGAAGCCCAGCACACCACCCATGTCCGTGTGTTTCCCAGTGGACCATGGACAGGGTGGGAGGGGGCTCATGATCAGCCTCAGCCTTGCAAGAGGGAAGAACAAGAGCAGGAGGCTTTTCCCTTCCCCATCATAGTGTTTGAGTCTACTTAAAGCCACACAGACGTGGGAGGGCTGGGAGAGCATGACCACACCGTGGCCGCTCCATCAGCCTTGCCTTCCAGCACCTTCATTGTCCATGTCTTTCCGTGTCTTTCCTGCCTGTCCATTGCACCAGCTTTGCCTCATTTCTTACCCCAAGGACGGTCCTGCTCGATGCTGTGAGTCTGTGGGTGAGAGCAGCAAAGAGCAGCAGAGCGTCGCTCCCATGTCAGGAGCTGCAGTTCCTGTAACACCCCCGGAGCCCCTGTGAGGCTTGCAGAGGTGTCATCACACCGGGTTTGTCTCTGCAGGTGGACCCCGATGATGTTCTCACAAAAGAAGAGCAGATCTATCTGCTGGTGGAAGCTAAGGAGAGATGTCAGAGAGACATAAAAGCCCAACTGGAGAAGATCAAAGGTAGTGTCGTCCCCCCTGCACATGGGTCAGCCCGGCAGAGCTGGCTGCACTGTGGGAAATGCTGTTCCTTCTGATGGGAGAGGGATGGGGCCAGGGACATGTGGGTTTGTGGAGATCCTGGCACCCTGGGTGCAATTAGGTGCTAATCACAGAATCCCAGCCTGGTTTGGGTTGAAGGGACCTCAAAGCTCCTCCAGTTCCAACCCCTGCCACGGGCAGGGACACCTTCCACTAGAGCAGGTTGATCCAAGCCCCTGTGTCCAACCTGCCCTTGAACACTGCCAGGGATGGGGCAGCCACAGCTCCTCTGGGCACCCTGTGCCAGCGCCTCAGCACCCTCACAGGGAAGAGCTTCTGCCTCAGAGCTCATCTCAGTCTCCTCTCGGGCAGGTTCAAGCCATTCCCCTTGTCCTGTCCCTACACCCCTTGTCCAAAGTCAGACCATGACCCTGATGAGCCAGCACTGGCTGCACCATGCACACCACAAACGGAAGCAGTGGAGGGAAGAGGTGGGATGTGATGGGACATGTCCCCCTCTCTGCCCCTCGCTGCTCTGCAGGCCAGGGGTGATGCTGGCGGCGCGTTTTCCCTGCCCTGGTCCCCGGGGAAGCTGGAGGAATGCTGTGTCCCGCTTTGGGGATGAGAGATGTCTCTTTGCTCTTTGGCCAGACACCAGCTGCCTTCCAGAGTGGGATGGGATTATCTGCTGGCCAAAGGGCTCCCCCAGCCAGGAGGTGTCAGTGCCCTGCCCCGACTACATCTATGACTTCAACCATCAAGGTAAGAGCTTGGACCTGAGCAGGAGAGACCATCCCTTGGTGATCCTCCACCAGCAGGGATGTGTCTGCGCTTTCCTTGGGTCCTTCCGCTGCCACAGCGCCCATCGCCGTTCCCAGGTCGTGCCTACAGGTATTGCAGCTCCTCTGGGACCTGGGCCGTGGCTCTCAGCATCAACAAGACCTGGGCCAACTACACCGAGTGCGCTCTGCTCTTTTCCTCCGAGAGCCGGAGCCGCGAGAAGGTGACCTCACTTGTGAGAGGGGCTGGGAAAAGGGCTTGGGAGTGTTCAAGGCCAGGTTGGACACAGGCGTGGAAGGTGTCCCTGCCCAGGGCAGGGGTTGGAGCGGGAGGAGCTTTAAAGTCCCTTCCAACCCAAACCATTCTATGGTTCTGTGGTTCCAGGAGGTGTTTGACCGCCTGCACCTGATGTACACCATCGGCTACTCCATCTCCCTGGCCTCCCTCATCGTTGCTGTCTGCATCCTCTCGTACTTCAAGTAAGGAGAAGCCAAAGCCCCATCCCCATGTGGGGGAGAACCCTCCTCTCCCCATCACCTGCACACACGAGTGAGCAGCCCCCAGGGGAACAGGAACCAGCCCCAAACCCCAGCACAAGCCCAGAACACCCTCAGTATGACCAGCTCCACCCGCTATCGAGGGTGTGGATGCCCCACTTGCCTGCAGGTCTGACTTCTGTGCCCACGGGACGGCCGACACCTTGGAGCTCACCTTCTCCAGGAGCCCACGGCCTGAGCCCATGTGCAATGAGCTTGTTGGGCAGCTGGGGCTGGGCTCGTGCCACATCCCTTCTCCATAGGCGCCTGCACTGCACACGCAACTACATCCACGTCCACCTCTTCACCTCCTTCATCTGCCGGGCGGTGAGCATCTTCGTGAAGGACATGGTGCTCTACTCGGGCACGCTGGCCACCGAGACGGAGAAGATGCGGGAGGAGGACTTCAGGGCAGAGATGGGTCCTTCGCCAGGACATCGGAGCCACTTGGCAAGTGTGGAGGCAGGATCAGGGCAAAGGGGATGGAAGAGCCCTGGTGCAAGGGGATGTGGTCGGATGCTCCCGACTCGGGGCTCTGCTGCTCAGGGGATGGGTGGAGGGTCACCTGCAGCTCTGCCCGGCTTCTCCCCACCCTGGTGCCACAGCAAGCAGAGGACATCAGTGTGGCCTGGTGTGGGAAGCACCTCTCCTGTGGGAGACCCAGAGCAACTGTGCTATGTCTGGTGCTGGAATATCCCAGAGGAGACGTAGCTCCCTGCAGGAGCCACACATGGGGCACAGCCTGGGGTTTGCTGGCCAGAGAGCAAAAGCCACCAGGTTTTGCCTTCAGGGCACAGCCTGATACGGACACTTCTCTGACTACATGTCCACAGGTGGGCTGCAAGCTGGTGGTGACTCTCTTCCTCTATTTTCTGGCCACCAACCACTACTGGATCCTGGTGGAAGGGCTCTACCTGCATAGCCTCATCTTCATGGCCTTCCTCTCCAACAAGAGCTACCTGTGGGTTCTCATCATCATTGGCTGGGGTAAGCATGGACCCCAGTGCTGAGACCAGCTGGGAGCCGTGGCATCAGAGTGGCGCAGAGCGCCTAAGTCAGGGCAGTGGGATGCAGACCAGACCTGCTCTGGTCTGCAAACGAGATGCTTCATCCCTGCTCCTCACCATGGTTTCTGCCCCTCCAGGTCTCCCTGCTGTGTTCGTGTCCATCTGGGCCAGCGTCAGGGCCTCCCTGGCTGATACACAGTACGTGGGTCCATCTTCCCCAAGAGTCCTTTGGGGAGGGAAGGGCTGGTTGCAAATGCCAGCAGAATATCGGAACTGAACGTGAAGAGCAAGAGGAGTGAACACACTATGGGGCTTGTTCATGAAACTGACAGTGACCCAGAGTGTGACAGTGGGTTTGTTCTACATTTGGGAGGAAGCTGGGAGCAGGTTTACACCATAAGTTGGTCAATAATCAGCACAAACATGGACGCTAATGGGCATGTTCTGAAGAGAAGCATTTTAAAAGGAGAAAGGCCACCACGTGTACAGCAGGAGGTGGCCAAGGAGACCTTTGGAACATTAATGCTGGTCTAAAACTGATTTGCAGCCCCACAGTGGTTATAAATGTTTGTAGCGTGGCTGCTCTTGGGTCAAGACTTACACAGGCTCCACAAAGGGAGTGAAGGGAGGGCGGGGATGTTGGTTGTGCCATCAGCTGGCAATGTTCCTCACCAGTGATTTCAGGTTCCTCCAGGGTGTTTCTTTATGGGTCTCTCCAGGTGCTGGGATCTCAGCGCAGGGAATATGAAGTGGATTTATCAGGTCCCCATCTTGGCTGCCATCGTGGTAAGAATCCCATGGCTGAATCTCCCAATCTCTTTTGGGAAAGGGGGTGGATAGAGACCCAGAGCTGTTCACTTGTGGTCCCCGAGGCTGTGTCTGCAGTCCCTCTGGCTCCCAGGTCCCAGCCACACTGGTCCCTCCCCACCCTGACCACAGCATCACCCCCATGTCCCTGCCTGCAGCTCACCCACAAGTGTCCTCATCCCGAGGGGCTGCCTGGGCAGACCCAAGGTCACTGCGGGCAACAGAAGTGCAGCGGGTGGTTGTTGGGCGGTTGTTGGCAGGTGAACTTCTTCCTCTTCCTCAACATCGTCCGGGTTCTGGCCTCCAAGCTCTGGGAGACGCACACGGGGAAGCTGGACCCCCGGCAGCAGTACAGGCAAGTGCTGGGACACCAGACCCTGCCCCAGCCCTGGCGTGGCTCATTTGGTCAGCGGAGCTGGCTCCACAGAGGGTTGTAAACCAAGAGCAGAGGTGCAGGAAGGGCTGCGGGAGGAGGGAGGTTGCAGGGCAATGAGCTTCTGGCAGCTTGGTGTGATTGGAACAGCAGGCTCAGGAGCTCAAGCCCTGCCTGCTCCCTGCTGCAGGGGCAGCTTCGCTGGGACACTCACCAGGGGCTGCAGGCTGGGCTGGCACGTCCCGGCTGATGGCCCGGAGCATTTCCCCTCTCAGGAAGCTGCTGAAGTCCACGCTGGTGCTGATGCCACTTTTCGGAGTCCATTACGTGGTGTTCATGGCCATGCCCTACACCGAAGTCTCCGGGCTCCTGTGGCAGATCCAGATGCATTATGAGATGCTCTTTAACTCCTCTCAGGTACTCCAAACAGTGAGCAGTGCTCACCCCAGGAGCGGGGAGGCACATGGGCAGTGCCCCAGCTCAAACTCCACCTCTGTCTCTTTTGGCAGGGTTTCTTTGTGGCTTTTATCTACTGCTTTTGCAATGGGGAGGTAAGTTAGAAGCATGAGGAGCTGAGCTCCCTGTTGCAGCCTCTTTGGGGTTGGGGAAGTCAACCCGCAACCCCCAGGCTGGGATAAGTAGAGAAAAGACTTGGATCAACTCTTTTCAGGAGGATTAGATTTAGGCTCACTAATGGAGCAACCTGCTCTAGTGGAAGGTGTCCCTGCCCGTGGCAGGGGTTGGAACTGGGGGAGCTTTAAGGTCCCTTCAACCCAAACCAGTCTGGGATTTGGAAGGGAGGAAAGCCCTGGGGAAGGGGGGGGATGCTGTTTTGGTGTCCCTGGCACCAGCAGCCACCTCTGATGTCTCCCTCAGGTGCAGGCAGAGATCAAGAAAGCCCATTTTCGGAGGAGCCTGGCACTGGACTTCAAGCAGAAGGCACGTGCCACCAGTGCAGTGGGGAGCTACTGCTATGGGGGGCTGACCTCCCACCCCACCACCAGCTTTAGCACCAGCCTGGTGGGGCGAGGAGCAGGGAGCACCCAGCAGCGGGGGCTGCTGCTGCCGGCCCGTGCCAGCCTCCCGGGCTATATCCCCAGCTCCTTTGCCTCGGATAACTTTGTGCCCTGTATGACCCAGGAGATGAGCCAGAAACCTTGTGGGGAAACCACGAGGGACTCAACAGACCTGGGTCGGTGTCACCCCAACCTCAACAAAGAGCTGGAGACGATGCTGTGAAGCGAATGGGGTGTTTCCCACCTGGACATCCAGCTGTGCCTGGAAAGATGCTGATCCTCACACCTTTATGTTTGCCTGGAGAACCAAGATAAGGAACACCCCAGCTCCCTCACACCCAGCGTGCAAAGGGACCATGTGCTCTTTCTACCTACCTGGCCTATGAGTGAGCAGCCAGCTCAAAACCTCATTTCCTTCCGCGCGCCAGTGACTGATGTACGTGATGTCTGAGCATGCAAAGCCTTGACTCATCACCAGGAAACACCTCGACAGTCTGGAAGGTGACTTCAGCTCCAGCATGTATAAAGCTGATTCAACGAGGCCATAGTCTGACTCCCCACTGTAGCACCTGCATTGTACAGCCCTGGGGCTGGTGCTGTGTAGCGCCCGCAGAGCTGTTCTGTGGCTCATCCTGCCCCTACCTGCACCCTTGTGCAGCTCACAGCCATGGTAAAGCAGGAACAGGGAGCACGAGGATGCTGCAGTGGATCCCAGCATCCGCTGGGATCAATGGGCTCAGGCACCAGGCCAAGCTGGGTTGGGCACGGTGCAGTGCTGGGCCCCCCCTGGCTTTCCAGCACCATCATCCATGAACACACGGGCTACTGCATGTGAGAGGCTCAGCCCCCAACCTTGAAAGTGAATGAAGACACAGTCTGTGCAGCTTGTTCCCATTCCTGAACTCCACCTGGGACTCAGTGGTTCCTGGAGGGCAGCAGAGGGTGCCGGGGGCTGGAAGCACATCCGCGGTGGCAGCAGCCGGACTCGCTGCCCCAGGTCCTCCTGCCCTCTCTGCTGCACTGTGCGGCTGGAACAGCTCTTCACCTGGTGGGAAAAGACATTCCAGTGCAGCTTGCACTGCCCAGCCCAGGTAACTCCACCAGACACAGGGGAGGGGAGGATTTCCCCATTGCTGGGAGAGGGCGTGTGTATACCTGTTACCATTAAACTGTGTTGGTGGAAGCGCGGGGAGTTTCTTTTCCTACCTGCTCTAAAGAGAGACAGTCCCTCAAGGCAGCAATTTCACGATGAAGACAGTGAACATGTGAATCATTCAGTGCATTCCCACATCTTCCAGTGGAAAGCTACGAGGCAAAGGGAGTCACAAGGATTAGAGAGCCCCAGAGGGACACGCAGCCAGGAAGGGAAGGGCTGCAGGGTCAGGCGCATCCACACCACCTCCCACCCAAGCAGATGTGGCAGAGGCAGGGGGGCTGGCGCGTTTGCCCGGCTCTGGGGGACAAGAGGGGGTGACTGATGCACAGCCACGGGAGCAGAGTCCCAGGGCTGCACTTCTCAACCCAACCCCAGCTTCCCATAATCATCTGCTCAGCTCTTGCCTCTTTAGAAGCAGGCAGCACAGGCTGCCACTGCAGGGAAAGCTTCTCCTCCCAGGCATGCTGCTCACACTGCTGCCTTGTTCCGTGGAGACAGAATCAACCCCCTGATGTATCTAACAGGGACCTGTGAACTGACATTTATAGCTCTTGGGCAGTGATCCATATTTACTCACCCAAGTCTGAAGAGGCCTCAGGTAGCTGAGAGAGGGGTGAGGAATTTCAATAATCCTATTGAACAGCAGAGGGATGTGTCAGAAAGAAAGGGAGAAACCCAAGGATATGGCATGTCCAGGGCGAGCCCCCAGGGGCAGCCATCCAGGAAGGCAGGAGCAGATGGAAGCTTTAAACTGGGGAGCTAGTTCTGGTTTTTTTGAAACTCAAAACTTTAATTGTGCAGCGTGATAAACCTGAAGTGTGATAAAGAAAGGGGAATGGCTTAGGAACCTGGAGAGGGGCTTTGGACAAGGGATGGAGGGACAGGCCAAGGGGAATGGCTTTAACCTGCCAGAAGGGAGACTGAAATGAGCTCTTGGGCAGAAGCTCTTCCCTAGGAGGGTGCTGAGGTGCTGGCACAGGGTGCCCAGAGGAGCTGTGGCTGCCCCATCCCTGGCAGTGGTCAAGGCCACGCTGGACACAGGGGCTTGGAGCCAACCTGCTCTAGTGGAAGGTGTCCCTGCCTGTGGCAGGGGTTGGAGCTGGAGGAGCTTTAAGGTCCCTTCAACCCAAACCACTCTGATTGTACGAATGCAACACCTAAACCCCTGCCCCATCTGCCCTGTAACATACTTGTCTTAATACTAAATATGCAGAGCTCAAACGGCTGCAATGAGGTTTCTGCCTGCACCATAATGAGAGAATTCAAGTGGAAGCAGTTTCAAAAACCCTGACAGATTAGAGCTAGTTCGTGAGGGGGCCCAAATGGAGCAGTGCACAGGCAGGTCACCTCACAGAACTGCTGCCACGTTCTCTAACAACCCCAAGAAAGGCTGGGATGAGGAACATGCCCTTCCCACTTGTAAAATGGAGGGAAAAAATCTCTTCCCCAGGAGGCTTTGAAGCTAAAATAGGGTTGGCAAAACAGTTTGGGGTCAAAGATACTGCAAAAACCCACAGGAATTCTTCTATCAACCACAGTCCATCATTGCTGGTGAAAGAAAAGGACAGGGTGGATGGAGATGCAAACACCAGACACCACCCAAACACCAGACCAGCCAGAGGAGAATAAAAAGCACATGCTCAATAGTTTTGAACCAGTAATAAAACATTTACTAGAGCAAGCAGAAAGTAAATGCACAGCTGATAAAGAAAACATCACAATGTCACCAAAACTTGACAGTTTCTGATACTTCTTTCAGGAGAAACAAGACAGCGGTGGGGGCTGCCGTGTTTCAACAAAAGACTTCTGCCTTTCCTTTATGGTGCCAACAAAGAGTTAAAAAAAGGGATGATACACACAAGGAGTTAAAAACTGTCAAGCAAGATTTTACAGTTTTAACTACATGTGTCCAATACGGGGCGAGAGCTGAGCTGTTCCACTTCATCAATCGCTTCTCAGGGTCTCCCTAAAGGCTTCTGAGCAGCAGGTCCCTGAATTACGGAGGGAAGCCTCTTCATTTAGTTACACTGCACGGGGGGCACCAGCCTCTGAGTGGTTTGGCTGTAGTTTATTCCCTTTTTTGCCTTTAATTTGAAGAAAGCATTCAACCCTCTCATAACAGAGGGTGCATAGGCACAGCAGAGAGGCAAGGTCGCTATGCAGGCTTCCATCAAAGTGAAGGTTAGCAGGAGAGAAGAGGGCAATGAGATTGGGATTGATGTACTGACCACAGCCAAGCCAGGGAGTCCAGCCTGCACTAGAGGTGAATTTGGGGTTTGCTGGGCTGGAGAAGGAGCCTTTGATCAGCGTCTTAGAAAATAATAAAACAAGGAAAGAAAAATCCACTTGCTTCATCCCACCTTCAGCAACGCAAATTGATGGATCCTTAGGTGATGTGATGTAAGGGGCAACCTGGATGCCAAATTATATGGGGATAAGATGTGAAAACAAGAGACTGGGGAAGAACTCACCATACTGAAGACACTGCTGAGAGCACTGTTTACCAGGTGGGTCCTGAGCATCTCTACCTGTTACTTTTTAAGTGTGAATGCTGGTTAAGAAAAGACTACTTTATACTTCTATGGACAACAGTTTCTTAATGTTCCAAGGATGCGAAACAGCTTCTTTCTTGTCAAGAAAGTCCGTTTAAATCCAGCAGAGTCACTTTAGCAGTGAATGTTTAAGTGAATGTAAAAGCAGAACCCAGGGAGCTTTATCAAAATGATTTCTCTTTGACTAAAGCATTGTGTGTACACATCATTAGAGTGAAGCTGTCCGCAGATGTACCGGCCCAGGCTTGCACAGGGAGTGTAGTTTGTACTGTCTCCTTCTCCTTCCCCAGCAGCTCAACAAGCAGTTACCAAACACAACCCCCCACCTCTGGCAAAAGGCAACACCACCTGCAGAGACCCCAGGCTGGGCAACACCAGCTTTTAACTGTCCCACCGGCTCTTCTTACGCTTTGGGGGCTCTGGGACAGCAAACCCATCTGTTTTGTTGTCTCGATTGTTGGCCTCCTTCCTGTTGTCCCCATTCCTGTTCTCGTTGTTCCTCCCTTCGTTGCTGTTCCTGCTGTCACCGTTATTGCGGTTCCCGCCGCCCAGCTCAGTGAAGTGCCGGCTCTCCCCATGGCGATGGTTGTCGCCGT